GGGGGGGGGGGGGGGGAGGGAGAGGACAGAAGGAGAGATAGCGAGATGGCGGTGCACGACCTGGCCGTGAGAAACGTTGCAGACCTTCCGAGTTCAGGATACACCGAGTAAAAGGGTTTTGCACAATCTCTACCATCCAGAGATAATTCGCCCACAAGTTCTATGATATCCCGAAAACTTCTCCGCATTCGATCCTTTGATGACCGTAAGCAGATGGGAGCGGATACCGTTTCAACTCACGTAGCATAGGAATGCACCCCACGGACAAGGAAACGAGGGAAAAAAAGGTGTGTACGAACGCCCTTGATATTGCTGCCATCCCCTGCGAACCCGCTGGTATCAAATATACGCAACCACCATCGACATCGCAAGATCAGCTCGTTACGTACCTCAGCCAGGGCGCTCAGCAGGAGCACGCGATTGCTGAGAGACTTGCTGCCCGGCAGCTCGACCTCCCCGGAGATGAGGGAGATGGGGGACACCGTCAGGCTCTCGAGTCTAGTCGCCGCTGTCGCGCCCATCATCACCTGGAACACAGAGCCAATTAACATACTGTATCACCATACATTTTTACTACAAAGAGCGCAACAAACCCATTTCTTCCACAGGTGAGAGTGCGCGGCAGATTAGCAGTTAGTTTTGAGTGTTCTACGGTGACGAATTTATACTGCTACGGTTCCACCTCTTGCGTATCGTCCTTTTCATTTTGAGCGTCAACCCGATACACCTCGCTCTCTGGATACGTATTTGGTCCAACACGCGAAACAGGGGGGTATTTGGCGCCGTTAGGGCTCGAAAGTGGTCCATCGGGCCCAACAGCGAAGACACCGTCAGGGCTCTTGGATACCCAAAGAACTGCCATATTGGGGTAAGAAAGGCCAGATCGGGTCTTGGCGTGGATAGAAGGAAGAAAGCCCCCGGTAGATGCATCACGAGGCCGTCCGTATGTGGGGGCGGGGGTGCTGCTTCTGCTTGCCGCTATGACGCTCGGCGTGGCTTCACGGTACGACCGTTGAGCGACTGCCTCCTACTGCTGTACGTAGCTTCATTTTCGGCTTTGGGGGCGGCAAGGGAGAGCCGTTGGTATGTAGGGTATCGGTAAGGTATCGAGGCGACGCTGGTCTACCTGCGATGATGTTCGTCGCCCACGTAACCGCAAGCAGGCCACCGGCACTTGGGTGTTCGGGATGCTCTGCTGGTGCTACGGGGCACATCTAAATGCATGCTCGGCGAACGGAAGTCTCCCGTGTGCATGGCGCTACGTGGTCAACCATCCTGGTCAGTATCGGGCAGCGGCTGTCGAGAATCAACGCCTGTAGTTTGTCGACCCTGAGGCGTTTCTACACGGCTTTACCTGGTTTATCAACTGCTGTACATCGGTTGGAAACATGCACAAAACATGCGCGGACGCTGACGATACATTGCCATCTTTCTAGTTATTGTGCTTGCCATTGAAGTGCTGCGGCATCTGCACAGCAGTAGGTACCGCTCGACTACAACTGCAGAGCACTCGAGCAACGAAGGCAAACGACGACGAGAGGATTGCATACGGAGCAGCTAGCCGTGGTGTACATGAGGAGAATGCGTTCCACCACGTGCACAGACGGGTTTCTCCGTTCCCTGCATTTCCATGACGATCTGGCTACCCTTGGTCGAATAGGCGTCCTCCACTGACGCCTTCGTCACTCACATGGCGCTGCCGCCTTCTGCAGTTGCGGCTGCCTCGGACACCAGCCTCGGCGCCACTGCTGTGGGGCCGAGCTGAGCCCGCCTGCTGCCGCACGTCAAGCGAGCTCAATCCTCCCGGTAGCAGCGTGTTCACCGAAGGAGGGACAGCTACGAATGCGTGCACCGGCTGCATAAGGGCCAGAACACAGCATATTGCAGCGAAGACTCCTGCATGGTTCATGCCTAGGGTAGCTTTCCCTCTTCTGTAATATGGGGTGCTGCTGCTGCTCCTGTGCAGGCAAAGACGCACCGACCACACATGCGGCGCAACCTCAAACTTTCACGATACAGCCCGTGCTGGCTATCCTCACTGCGCATCCCCCCATTCCCTCCTGCTGGCTAGCTGGTGCTCTCGGGTGTCGTTCCACCACAGACACCTCTTCTCCCCTTCCCCTCGCCATCCCCCTCACGCGTAGAAGAGGCGTAAGTCTGGCGAGTATGATGAGCGCGTGCAGGAATGCCGCAAGGGCGGTGCTTTGCGTACGACGGCCATTGATTGCGCCCGCCAGGCTTGTTGTGCCCGCCACGCCTGGTGCTGCTGTCCGAGCGCTGAGCTATGCACAAGACGGGGGGCAAGGCGGCGCACCATGGAGTGGGCACGGGGATGACGGGGGAGGACACGGGGTGATGGGAGGGAGCGACCGTCCCCGGCGTAGAGTGGTTGAGAGGCGACCCGGCGATTGGTGAGTTGGGCAGTTGGTATGTGTAGTAGCATGTGCGTGGGGTGCGGCTGTCTCGCGCGTTTGTCAGGCTCCTACGGCTGCTGCTGACCGCACAAACTCCTCAGCTTTCAGCGTGTTTCCTCTCCTTGGTTGTCACACAAAGACGGGTGCCCTGCTTGATCGATGCTGACGGTAACGCTGCTGCTGCTGCTGCAGCGAATTAGGGTGCTGGCACGGGCATGCTGCTGCTCTGCAATTTGTACGTCGCACGTTTTGCACCTCGTTCGTACGGCCTTTGGCACCACTCCGCTTGCACGAACATGTCACGCAGCATGAGTGCCAAGCGCCGACTCATCCCCCCCCCGACTTCATCGGCGCCCATCGAGCACCTTAGCCGTTGGTGTTGGCGCAGTTTCCTGAGAACTGGACACATAACTACTGCTGTACTCCTTTGCTCTGACAAACACTTCTTGTCTCAACTCTGATGGATGGTTTTGCTTCCTATCTCCTGAGCGAGAGCTCTCCAGTAGATCGTTTTCGGCGCTCGTACAGAGTAGTTGCGTTGATCTACAGCAGTACACTGGCGACGGGCCGGTACTTCCCTCACCAGCAGGGCTTGCGCGTTGGTTGTTGTTCCTCAATACCATGTCGCATTCAATCGATAACAAAATAAATATTTTTATGTATGCATACGATACTGCTGGTGTACAGTGAATTTTGGCAGCTCATCAGCAGCGCGTCGTGCAATCTATAAACAGCAGCTGCCTGGCACTCTTCGTGAGGTGACGTCACAGTACCGACCGCCTCTCAGGAGGGCCCCGTGTTGTTTAGTCTCTCTCCCCCCCCCCCCCCCCCCCCCCCCCCCCCCCCCCCCCCCCCCCCCC